GTTGCCTTCCAATACACTAAGGATAAGGAAGCAGAGAGGGAAATTAGAGAAGCATCACCTTTCACGATAGCCACAAATAGCATAAAATATCTTGAGGTAACTCTGACCAAGGAAGTAAAGATCTATTTGACAAGAACTTTAAGTCTTTGAAGAAAGAAATTGAAGAGGACACCAGAAAATGGAAGGATCTCCCTTGCTCTTGGATTGGGAGGATCAACATAGTAAAAATGGCAATTCTACCAAAAGCAATCTATAGATTCAATGCAATCCCCATCAAAATCCAATCAAAAGTCCTCGCAGACCTAGAGAAGACAATAATCAACTTTATATGGAAAAACGAAAAACCCAGGATAGCCAAAACAATCTTTTTTTTTGCTTTCTTTTTTTAACTTTCTTTTTGTTTTATTGAGAAAAAAACAATTTCTGCCTCCTCCCAGCCTCCCGCTCTTCCCCCCCACTCCTCTCCCCGTCCCCCCACTCCTCTCCCTCTCCCCCCACTCCTCTCCCTCTCCCCCTCCCTCTCAAGTCTGAAGAGCAGTCAGGGTTCCTTATACAATAAAGGATCGTCTGGAGGCATTACCATCCCTGACTTCAAACTCTATTACAGAGCTACATACAGTATTGAAAACAGCTTTGTATTGGCATAAAAACAGAGAAGTCAACCAATGGAATCGAATAGAAGACCCTGACTTTAACCCACAAACCTATGAACACCTGATTTTTGATAAAAGAGCTAAAAGTATACAATGGAAAAAAAGAGAACATCTTCAACAAATTGTGCTGGCAAAACTGGATGTCAATCTGTAGAAGATTTAAAATAGATCCATATCTATCACCATGCACAAAACTCAAGTCCAAATGGATTAAAGACCTCAATATCAGTCCGAACACACTGAACCTGATAGAAGAGAAAGTGGGAAGTACTCTACAACACATGGGCACAGGAGACCACTTCCTATGTATAACCCCAGCAGCACAGACATTAAGGGCATCATTGAATAAATGGGACCTCCTGTGACTGAGAAGCTTCTGTAAAGCAAAGGACACTGTCACTAAGACAAAAAGGCAACCCACTGACTGGGAGAAGATCTTCACCAACCCCGCAACTGACAAAGATCTGATCTCCAAAATATATAAAGAACTCAAGAAACTAGACCGTAAAAGGCTAATCAACCCAATTATAAAATGGGGCACTGAGCTGAACAGAGAATTCTCAACAGAAGAAGTTCAAATGGCCAAAAGACACTTAAGGTCATGCTCAACTTCCTTAGCGATCAGGGAAATGCAAATCAAGACAACTTCAAGATACCATCTTACACCTGTCAGAATGGCTAAAATCAAAAACACCAGTGATAGCCTTTGCTGGAGAGGTTGTGTAGAAAGGGGTAAACTCATCCATTGCTGGTGGGAATACAAACTTGTGCAACCACTTTGGAAAACAGTGTGGCGGTTTCTCAGGAAATTCAGGATCAACCTACCCCTGGACCCCAGCAATACCACTCTTGGGAATATACCCAAGATCTGCCCTATCATACAACAAAAGTATATGCTCAACTATGTTCATAGCAGCATTGTTTGTAATAGCCAGATCCTGGAAACAACCTAGATGCCCTTCAATGGAAGAATGGATGAAGAGAGTATTGAATATATACATATTAGAGTACTACTCAGCAGTGAAAAACAATGACATCATGAATTTTGCATGCAAATGGACGGAAATAGAAAACACTATCCTGAGTGAGGTAAGCCAGACCCAAAAAGAGGAACATGGGATGTACTCACTCATATTTGGTTTCTAGCCATAAATAAAGGACATTGAGCCTATAATTCGTGATCCTAGAGAAGCTAAATAAGAAGGTGAACCCAAAGAAAAACATATAGTCATCCTCCTGAATATTAACCTGCATCAGGCGATGAAAGGAGACAGAGACAGAGTCCCACATTTGAGCTCCTGACTACAACCTCAAGGTCCAAATCAGGAGAAGGAGAGAGAGCACGAGCAAGGAACTCAGGACCGCGAGGGGTGCACCCACACACTGAGACAATAGGGATATTCTATCGGGAACTCACCAAGGCCAGCTTGCCCGGGTCTGAAAAAGCATGGGATAAAACCGGACTCAGTGAACATAGCGGACAATGAGGACTACTGAGAACTCAAGAACAATGGCAATGGGTTTTTGATCCTATTGCACGTACTGGCTTTTGGGAGCCTAGGCAATTTGGATGCTCACCTTACTAGACCTTGATGGAGGTGGGTGGTCCTTGTACTTCCCACAGGGCAGGGAACCCTGATTGCTCTCGGGCTGACGAGGTAGGGAAACTTGGTTGGGGGAGGGGGAGGGAAATGTGAGGTGGTGGCGTGGAGGAGGCAGAAATCTTAAATAAATAAAAAATAAACTGTTTTTAGTGCAGGTCTCAGTATTCTGCACATCCACACTGTGTAAAGTGGATCTCCAGACACAACTCCTCTCCTTTGCCCTCCCCTCCAAGCTCCTGGTGACCAACTTCCTATTTTGTTTCTGTGAACTGTCTTCCTCAGATGCCTTGTAGGTGTATCCTTGTGACTGTCTTATCTCATTCAAATGTCTTTAAGGCTAAACCATGCTGTAATATGTAATGGGATTTTCTTTCTTTTAAATTCCATTCCAATTGCATTCATGTCAAATTTTGTTTATCAATTGGTAGACATTTGGCTGCATACACCCATCAGCTACTGTAAATGCACGGCTATGCTTATGCACTATGTCTTCCAATTTTTTGGATGTATGCTTGGACTGGGACTATTGAATCATTTAATTGTTCTGTCTTTAATGTTTTGAGGAAATGCCTTTCTATTCTCCATATTTACACTTCCAGCAGGAGCACATAAAAGTCAAAGAGATCACTGCCACATCCAGTGCTCCTCATAGGCACATGCGTGAATGGGTGGGCCTTAGCCAACAGCTCTGCTTTGAGAGGTTTGGAACCTCTGGAGCCTAGAAGAAAGGAGCTACTGGCGTGGGTAGGTAATAATAATAATAATAATAATAATAATAATAATAATAATCCACTACTTGTTCCATCCCAAGATTTTTGCTTCCTGATCCATCAGTGTGTGAACAAACTGTGTTGAAAACCCCTGCCTGCAACCTTAGATCAATACCCCTGAAAGCATGAACCTAAATAAAGGTCCAATTTCATTCTTTTATATATGCTTATCCAGTTTCCCCAATACACGTATTGATTATTTGAACACAAATATATGCATTAACTTATGGGTCCTGGGTCCACATCCTGCATTCTGCAGCAACATCTTGAATCCTGAACCCAATCCTACAACTTGGACCCACATCCTGCAACCTGGACCCATATTCTACATCTTGGACCCACAACCTGCATCCTGGACCCACTTTCTGCATCCTGGACCCCCATCTTGCATCCTGGATCCCATTCTGCATCCTGAAACCTCATCCAGCATCCTGGACCCCCATCCTATGTCTGGGACCAATTTATTCTATACCATTGATTTTTTTTACAAAAAGATTTATTTTCATTTTAAAAGTATATGTGTGTGTGCATACATGCATTTGAGAACAGTTGCCCACAGAGGCCAGAAGAGGGCATCAGACCTCCTTGAGCTAGTGCTGCAGGTGGTTGTGAGCTGCCTGATGTCTGTGCTGGGAACCAAACTTGGGCCCTCTTCAAGAGCAATATATGCTCTTAACCAGTGAGCTCTTTCTAGCCCCCATTGATCTGTTTTAATGTGACTATAATCTATTCCATAGCAGGGCAGTTTTCTAACATGTTTTGAAATGAGAAAATAGGAGACATCCACTTTGCTGCTCCTTTAAAAAGCATATCTCGAGGTAGAAACTTATTTTGCGGATCTGAGATCTTTCTGTTTTAGATGTTTATTTTTTAAAATGTTTCATGTGTGTGTGTGGGGCGTCTACCTGCATGAGGATATGTGCTTGTGTGTGCAGGTGCTGGCAGGCCTGGTCTCCGTGGAACTGGAACTATAGGCAGTTGTGAGCTGCCTGATGTGGGCATTAGGAACTGAACTTGAGTTCTCTGCAAGAAGAGTATATGCTCTTAACTGTTGAGTCATGTCTCCAATCCTGAGATCTTCCTGTTTTTATTCATTTAGAGTCAGACATTTCCCTTTACCGTTATTTTTGCTACATCACAGGGCTTAAAAGATTCAATCATTAAGCGACTGTCCTGTGTATTTCAGATAGCATCTCATCACTTTATTGCTGTGAAGAGATACTGTGACCAAGCCAACTCTTATAAATAAAACATTTAATTAGGGGCTTGATTACAGTTTTAGAGGGTTAGTGCATGGTCATCATGGAAGGAAGTAGACAGGCATAGAGATGGTGCAGTGGTTGAGAGCTTTATATCCTGATTACCAGGCAGAGAGACAAACAGTGAGCCTGGCATAGGTTTTTGAAACCCCAAAGCCCACCCTGAGTGACATGGCTCATCCAACAAAGCCACACCTCCAAATCCTTCCCAAACAATTCCACTGAGGACCAAGCATTCAAACATGAACCTCTGGGCACCACAGATAGGCATGCTTTGTGGCTCAAGTTTCCAGTAGCAAGGGTAGAAACATTGCGCAGGAAGGGGCCTGATGGCATCATAATCAATATGTGTGTCTCTCTTCACCATGACAGATGGCATTGTAACCAATGTATCTGTTCCTCTTCACCACCACTAGATAGCCTGCTTCACACTAGGCCTACCATAATTTAACTGGCTATGATTTATTTTTTCATTTCACTCACTCAAAAATGACTTGGGAGGATCACGAGTTCTAGGCTAGCCTGACTGTGTAGTGAAATGTTTTCTCACAAACACATGAAGAACCTGATAACTGCATGTTCACACATTAGTGAGGCCGACATGGAATCTGACCTTAAGTGCAGAAGTAAATCTCAAAATCTTTTCGTATTTACAAGGAAGCATATTTCAGTGTCTGTTATTAAATCATATCCAAAGAAATTATTTTAACTTACTATTCAGTCGAGGCTTGGATAGTAGCATATTTTTAATATTTATCAAAATGCCAGAATATAAAAAGATGTTCCATTCTTCTTCTGGTAGAAATCCTATGTCACTGGCCATCAGACGGTCGCTGGCATCTCTCATGATTGTGGTGCAAAGCCGGAAGGAGAAGCAGAGTTTATGCTCGTTAAATAGAGCTGAAGAGACCACCTACAGAAACAACAACAGTTACCACAGCCCAAGAGGCAGGGCCGGGGAAATTCGCGGTATAAGGATGGCTTACCCTAAACACGTTTCTTGTCAGCACGTCGATTGCATGTTTAGTATTCTTGGTCAAGGGATTTTCCAGATTCTGTTGATTCGAGACACTCATCTCATCGGCTTTTTCCTGAGCTGTTTCGTCCGTTTGCCAATCGGGCTTTTGTTCTTTGGTTTTGGAAACTGTAGAGAAAACGAAAACCTGCCGGAACCACTCCAGAGAGAATTGGTACATGTACTCCACCTGCGTGAGGCTGGCCAGCACGAAGTAGAGCAGGGCGCCCCTTGTGGCTATGGGGAGGTAGTTCTTGCGAATCGCTCCAATTTCACGTTCTGCTTTCTCTGTTTCTTTGATACGTTTGGAAATTTCATTTGAAGTCATTTTGGATTTTCTTAGGGTTTCTACAATTTCTTCATCATCCAATACACTTCCTAAAAATGAACAAAACATGAATTTGAACAAAAAAACCTTTGAAATGGGAAGTAGCTGTTTCCTGCTCTGGGCACTGCATGAGTTTTTACTGTGGCTTCTTATTGGTTTTTTGTCCAGATAGGTTCTTTTTCTTTTAACTGTAAAGCAGAGTTGGAAATTTTATTAAGAAATTTTAATTTAGACTAAAACATTAGGCTTAGGAGAAAAAGAGGAGCCCAGAAAAAGTAAAGGCGGACTGAAGTGTGGGCATGGGCTTCAGGGAAGGGTCACTAAGATAGTTTTAAAATGATTAATAATATTTCTTTTTTAAAAAATAATTTATCTATTCCTATTTATGTACATTGGCGTTTTGCTGCACTTATTTCTATTTTTTTTAATATTTATTTATTATGTGTACAATGTTCTGTGTGTATGCCTGCAGGCCAGAAGAGGGCACCAGACCTCATTACAGATGGTTGTGAGCCACCATGTGGTTGCTGGGAATTGAACTCAGGACCTTTGGAAGAGCAGGCAATGCTCTTAACCTCTGAGCCATCTCTCCAGCCCTGCTGCACTTATTTCTGTATGAGGGTGTTAGATCTTGGAGTTACAGACAGTTGGGAGTTGCTATGTGGGAGCTGGGAATTGAACCTCGGTCCACTGGAAAAGCAGCTCTTAACCGCTGAGCAATCTCTCCAGTCTCCAGGCTAATCATATTTCTAAGAAGCAGGGTTGACAGTATGCAGCAGGCCCCACTTCCCACTCCCTTTTCTTAATTCTGTTTGTGAATTCTATTTTTATCACTGGAATAAGTAACAATTCCATCATAAAGAATAAATTTACCTTATACACACACTCACAGACAGACATATATACACAGACATCGGCAGACTGACAGATAGACACAGACAGAGACACACACACATCCACACACACAGAGGTCGGGGATGTAACTCAGTGGTTAGAGTGTTTACCTGTATGCACAAGACCCTGGGTTTGATCCCTAGCTCCACCCACAGTAGCAAACATGCTATTATGGGTGGGACTTACTCGTTCCAACTGGTTATCTGGTAGTAATGGAACCTTGGCACTTTTGGTACCAGTTCAGAAAATAACCTTATGGTTTTATTTATTATTTATTTTTTTTACTTTCATTTAAGTCTCCCGATCACACTCAGTATCTTCCTCACCTTCTGTTTTCTGGAGTAAAGTCAATGTTTTATCCTCCAGTTCCTCCAGAGTTATAGCATCAAGGGAAATACTCTCTAATAACTGGGCACGTTGGTTTTCCAAATGAGGAACTTCATGACTTACTACTGTCGATAAAAGCTGATCCTGCAAGCCCTGGAATGTTACCGTGAAGTTGATAATAGTAACAAAGTTATAAGCTGACGGAAGAAAGTGGGGGTTGTCCAGTTCTGTAGACAAGTACAGCCTAAAAGTGAGGAGGACACCAGTTATCCAAAGAACAACAGAAGAATGAATAACATGATACCAAATGTTTAAATACTATAAACTGTATTTTTCTGGAAGTGAAGATTCATTTTTCAGTTTTGTGCTCAGTTCATGCCCCTGGTTTATACTATGAGAATAAGTCTGCATTTAATACTTTAAAAACAGCTGTGAATTATATCCTTACTAGATTTAAGCCTAAGGCCAGGGTAAACACAAATGGTCAGAGTTTTGACGCCACTGGATCATTGTGAAGAATGGTTTCCACGGCTGAGGATGTAAGGCAGTGGGGGTTTGGAGTTACTGGACTTTCTGGTGGAAAGGCAGCCAGGGCATGGAGTTGGTGGGACAGGAGGGAAGGTGGTGGTTTAGAGCAGGCAGTGAGAAAGAATGAGATTCTAGGTCTTGTTTTTATAGACACTAAGAAGAGCAGGGCTATGTCCACTCTACTTTTAAAAGGTGAGGCTGAGGCTTGGCCAGGGAGAGTGGAGATCTGTCCCCAAGTCAGTCTTTTAAGGCAGCACCCTCTCCCCATCTTCTGGGAGCTGTCCTTTCTGGGGATCAGTTGGCCAGTTACTGTGACTCCCCTGGCTCTGCCCATGAAGAGACAATGCTCTCACACAGCCCAAAGGCTTTCCCAGGAACTGTGTTTCTGTGGCCGCCAAATGTTCCCACAAAATAGCCCTTCATGAAGTTGCCTGGAGGGAGCCTCAGATTCTGGGCAGCTGAGAGAACAGTAGAGAAGCCTGCCAGGCAGTTTGGGGACAGGGACCTCAAAAATGAACAGTTCTGATTCTAGTCCTTGACTAGAAGCCAGGAGTGGCCTTGGTTCTCACGGCACTTCTGATTCTGTCCTGGCACCTTGCGTCTTTCTCAAAGTTACCGAGGCACATGAATCCTCTGTGATGGGATGAGTGGTGACCTAGATGAGCCCCTATATAAGGATACTTCACGATGCCCCAGCTTTGTGACCTGCTCTTGCTATTTGGGAACTCTGCTTAAGTCCTGTGTCTCTTGTGTCTCACCCAGAAACCCAGAATAAATTTCTCTCCAAAAATCACCCTTGCTGTCCTCCAATTTGTCTTGAATTCTGTCTGAATTCAAGAGACAAAGGGCCTCTAAGTGCACTCGCCCCGGTGGCTTTGGTGGACTGGATGTCAACTGTCGAAGAGCCCAGCCCTCCATGAGCTCATCTGACGTGAAGAAGTCTTCATTGTTAAGGATTCCATTTTCCCTCCTAGTGCTTCTACCTCCCTGGGCAAAATTTTCTTGTTCTGAATTTTAAATATGAATTTATATGTGCGTGTCTAAAGACTGACTTCAGGTATTTTCTTCAAATGCTCTCGATCTTTCTGAGACAGTGTCTCTCAGTTGGCGAGGATGACAGACCACTGGACTCTCGGGACTGGCTCGTCTCTGCCTTCCCTGAGCTGACTACAGGGGCGTGTCACCCTTTACACGTGTGTTCCAGACCCGGGTGCTCATGCTTGCACAGCAAGCACCGGCTGAGCCGCCAGTCGCAGCTTGCTTTTTGTTTTGTAAAGCGGCCAAAGTTTATCGTGCCTGTGTTGGTGTTGGTCAAGGGGATTAAATCAAACTCTTCTGGACTAAGTGGGCCAGGCTCTCTGGCCACACATCAGATACAGGCTGACAACATGGATCAAACTCACTCTCTGAAAATGGGTGACAGCCACAACCCATCAAACCCAATGCAATATTCATGATACAACTGCTCTTTTTCCTCAAGATCCCACTTTTCAGGATGATGCTATGTTCCTTATCTTAAAAATTAAACCACAGGACTGGATTTGACTATGAGAGACATCACCTGAAGTTTTCACTGTATTCAATCTCAGCATCATCGATTCTGATGTAATAATGCCCTCTTTTCTGGCAAATATCCTTCTTTAGAATTGCCATCAAGCTGGGAGGGAATGCCTCAGGGGCGTTCTGAAAAAGTCCAAGAGATGCAAATAAAAAATCATCTTAAATCATAGTTGAGACCATCAGAGAAAGATAGGTGTAAGAGCGCTAAGCTATGTGCATGTGTGCACATATATAGTACACACATATAAATATAATTATGCATACGCTTGTTTGACAAAGATCCTGGACACTTAAAGCTTCTCCCTTTATGTTCCTTGCACATAACAAGGGTTGCAGTAGAAAGAAGAGAAAGAAGGAATCAGGAGACGTCATCCAAAATACCTGCAAGAGGACACAGGCTCCCACTTGCATGGCGGTTTTAAGCATTTGGAGGTAACTGCTGTCTTCCGCGGAAATCTCTTGCAGCTGGGGCCCTTCCATCTGACGGATCCAGTGGAGTGCTTGTTTGTGTGGGTCAATCACCAGTGGCCACTGCTGGGTACTTTTCATCAAGATGGCATTTTCAGTTGAGTGCTGACCGAGAGGCAGCCCTTGATTATGCCATCGGCGGATCTGGAATGGAAACACTAGTCCAGAAACTTCTACATAGGCTTAGGTCCTGTAAAGGGGTCATGAAGGATTTTAAACAATCATTGTTTTAGACAAATAATCCTTGAAAGGAATAAGGGAACAAACAATTTAAAACAAGTTGGATTTTTGTAATGAGAGTGACGTAAGACACTGTAGAAACAGAGCAGACAGCAAGGGACTAGGTTCCAGGACTCCCAGGCTCTAGCCACATAGGAAACAGTCAGGCAGCGCTGTGAAGACAGCACTGACTGCTGCAACCCACCACCTTCTCAAGCACATGTATTCATTACCTCATTAAAAAACTCGTACCCGCACTCTAGTTCCTCAGATGGGGAAGCTGAAAATCCAGGGATGTGCCTTCGGCCATACCGTCAGAACCAGGTGCACATCTCGGACTCGCCTCGGGATACCTCTGCCTTGATGAGCCTCCCACTCTTTTCAGGACCCTATCTTTCCCCTCACTTCTGTCTCCCCACAGTCTTAGAAGTCGGTGGAGCCTGAGGAGGTGAGAGAAGGCATAGGATACCAGGGACACTCCCAGCCGAAGGAGTGGGGCTTCTCTAGGAGAACCCATGGAGACTGAGTTTAGATGGAAGAAAGGGTCTTTCTCTTGCGGGGGGGTCAGCCTATGAGGAATGGTGTGCAGCTGAGTTCTGCATGATGAGAATATAAAACCACCACGAGGAACCTGAGAAGAGACTTAAATGTTCCTGTTGTTTGTTGGAGATGGCTGCCTGTTACCTATCAGCAGGGACCATTAATCTCCATCGATAACATTCAGCTACTTTTCTAGCTTCAAGTTCCAGACTCTTCCACAGTCCTATAAAAGAATAGCATGGTGCCAGGTGGTGGTGGCGCATGCCTTTAATCCCAGCACTCGGGAGGCAGAGGCAGGGGGATCTCTGTGAGTTCGAGGCCAGCCTGGTCTACAAAAGCTAGTTCCAGGACAGGCTCCAAAGCTGCAGAGAAACCCTGTCTCAACAAACCAAACCAAAAAAGCATGGTAGGTTGCTCACAGCAATAGCCTACTCTCTGGTACCAACTACTGTCTTTGTCACCCCCCCCCTGCTGTGATGAAACCCATTGACCAAGGTGACTTATGGGAGGAAGAGCTTAGTGACCTTCATACATCCATATAGGGGGCGGGAATGGCAGTAAGCAGCAGGCCTGGCGGCCGGAACAGGAAGCTGAGCACCCGTCTCTTCAAACACAAGCTTGACGCAGAGAGAGCAAATTGGAGTAGCAAAGCCTTTTCCCCTCAAAGCGTGTCTCCAGTGATGGACTTCCTCCAGCAAGGCTGCCTCTCTACACTTCTCCAAAACCTGCAACCAACTAGGGACTCAGTATTTAAATATATGAGCCCGTGGAGGACCCCTCATTCAAACTCCTTCAACAGGCCATCTGTTTTCTCGGTGGTTTTTATTTTATTTTTTATTTTTGAAATGTGTGATTAACTGGGCTGAGCAGGGAAGAGGAGAGAGGGGAAGGACTGCAAGCGCCAAGAAGGCCAAGATCATCACAAGGGAACCCACAGAATCAACCTGGGCTCATAAGGGCTCACAGGGGCTCACAGAGGCAGAACCGTCAACCAGGGAGCCTGAGTGAGACTGACCTAGGCCTTCTATATGTATGACAGTTATGTAGCTTGGTCTACTTTGTGGGTCTCCTAATAGTGGGAGCAGGCCTGTCCCTAATTGGCTGGCTTTTGGGAACCTATTCTTCATACTGGGTTGCCTTGCCCAGCCTTACTAAGGGGAGGAGCCTAGTCCTTCCTCAGCTTCATGTGCCATGCTGACATGCTACATTGACACCCATGGGAAGCTCGCCCCTTTCTGAACAGAAACAGAGAAGGGGTGGATTGGGGATGGAGGGGTGGTGGAGGAAAGGAATGGGATGGGGGAGGGACTGATGTCTGGATGTAAAATAAGTGAATAAATTAAAAAATGTTTGCTTAATATTTGAAGTCATGTTATCAATAGACAAGTTTAGAATTATTAATATAGTTCTGGAGAACCGAATCCATTCCTAGTGCACAGTAAACTATGATGTTATTACTTCTTTCTGGGCCTTGGAGACTGGTTCATCTTCATTTGTAATCTGTGGGACATTTTCTGCTTTTTAAAAAGTCCCCAGTCAAATGGTTGGAGAGCTGGCTGAGAGGATTGGAACGCCGCCCGCAGAGCCCGAGGTCGCTGGTTCAAGTCCCAGGTAAGTCTGTACTGTGTGAATGTGTCTGTGCTGTCTGTGTGCTGTGTGAATGACATCTGCATGCATAATTAATCAAAAAAAAAGTCCCCAGTCTTAATGTTTTAGATGTGTTCTTTCTAAATAACACGTGGCTTCTGGTTTGGGCTTTGGTGCAAATTATGTGCTCTTACAATTTTAGACTTATAATTGGAGCACTGAGTTTATACACATCTAATGCAGTCAATGATGTGTTTAGATGGTTAGTCATTGGGAAACAGAGAAGCTGGTATTTTCTCATAAAACCTCATAGGTTGTAAGGTCCATTTAACTGACCTAAAATGATGAGGATTAAATAATACTAGGCATTTATCCTTTTAAAAATCCTTTAAACATTCACAAAGGATTTACATAAATGGACAATAGATATCTATTGGAAAGTATAGGTCTGTGCGTTTGGCCGTGGCTATGAATGCATCCATGGTTCAATAATTTTGTTACTGAAGGGAGTTTGAGAGAAACTGGCTAGATTCATTATGACAGGGTGCTAGGATTACAAAAGAATATTTTGTGAATTTTATTAGAGAATGAGAAACAGGAGAGATATGGCAAATAGAGGTGTTCAATCTACAAGTTAAAGAATAAAAGGCTTCAGTATTTTCACTTGTCACTGTGATTTAGAGAAAACATCCATGCCCAACACACCCTCCTGTACACCAACCACCAACAAGTCACTTAATTGGATAATAGAATTATGCTACTACCTCATTTTTTTCTGCCATCACTTCCATTAAGGAAAATTTGGATGACAAGGAAATCTTGTGTTGAGTGCAGAAGCCCTCCCATTTCTGCATCTCTGGCTGGCGGAACTCTGGTGTCAAGACTCCGCTGTAGGCAATGGACGCGGAGGAAAGAAGTATGTCACCGCAGATGCCTCTCAGCTTCTTGTCTATTTCCTTGATTGTTTCTTGCCATCGAATCTAAATGTTAAAAGAATTCAGTTTATTGAGTTGACAATTCCTTAAATATTTGTGTGTTATGTGTGTGGTAGATATCTGTGTGGGCATGCACACACTGGGCATCCTCTAGTGTCCACCTTATTTGACTGTTTTGGGTGTGCAGGTGCAGGCTTGCAGTAGAGGTAGAGGACCTCAAGTGTCCTGCTCCATCACTCTCTTCCATTATTCCCTTGAGGGTCTCTCACTGAACCTGGTTAGACTGATGGCCAAAACACCCTCAGCAATCCTCCTGTCTCTGTCCCTCACAGTGCTGGGGTTACATGCCTGCGCAACAGCCATGCCCAGCTTTTTACATGGTTGTTGGGGACCTGAACTTAAATTCTCATGCTCACCCAGCAGTGTTCTTACCCACTAAGCAACCTCCCTAACCTACTCCTATTGCTATTATTTAATTTTTTTGGAGACAAGGTCACTGAACTTGGAGCTCACCAACTGGGGCTATCCTAGCTGGCCAGCAAGTCTCCAGGACCTGCCGGTTTCTTCCCTTCAGTCCTGGGGGACTGATATACTTTTACATGGGTGCTGAGGACCCAAACTCAGTTCCTCATCCTCATGAGGCAAGCACTTTCCTCACCAAGTTCCCTCCCGAGCCTAATCCCGTGAGATCATCTGAAAATGAACGGTCCCTGTGTCAGATCTATAATGGCCATCACTTTGACACTCTCAGGTTGTATAAGGCCAGGATGGGCGTGGTGGCACCGGCCTGCAAATTTGGCACTCGAGAGGCTGACTCAGGAGTGCAGCCATCAATTCCAGGCCAGCAAGGGCGACAGAGCCCCAAGATGGATTCACTAGGGGTTTTATCACCCACTGCTGGAAACTACCTGGCAATACTGTTTCTGATTGAGATCTGGAGAAGGTCTCATCTAGATAAAACAAAAAAATTCACTACAAAAAAAATCTTACCCTGCCCCTGCCAAGGAACTGTTTTCTGTTAATGAGGCCAAGGCCCGCTTTGGCTGCATCATGAGAACTGGTCACATAAAACAAGCAAACAAGATCACATTTTGTTATTGATGCTCTATCATCCCACGCTCACCATCTGCTGAATACATTCTCAATGGACACTTTATTGTGAAACTCTCACTTGACACTTTACCATCCCATTAAAAAAATGCCATCGAGTCAGACATAGTGACAGACATCTTTAGTCTCAGCAGGGAGACAGAGACAGGTGGACCTGTGTGAGTTCAAGGCCAGTCAGAACTACATAGTGAGCCCTATCTTAAAATAAACAAAATAATAAACAAAATTTAAAAAAAATGCCACTGATTTCATGTTTAGAGGAGGAAGTTGGAGTGTGGAGAGCATCGTGTGTTTGGTTGGTCGCTGGAGAGAGCAGGGCTAACAGACATTCACCTCTCTAGGAGTCAGAGAGCAGGAGCAATGCTGGTGCTCCTCTGCCCCCCAGAAGTCACTGGACTCTTAGGGACATCAGTTAAGTTTTGAGAACAGCAGTCTCCCTCTGGTTGGTAAGACTTTATCCCACAATCCCATTGCTGTCTTTGAAGAGCCTTCTACAATATATTCCCTCAAATAATTACAACAAAGTTATCTTTAGGATTTTGCAATATCCTTTGGGGTAGGCGAGGTGTAACTAAACCGAGATTTTAGCCAGCTTATTAGGAGCGAATTAGAAAAATTTAAAAATCAGATAAAAGGACTCAGACCAACAGAACAAAAGGTTTTCGCTTTTCGTTCTAATGCCGGCTTTTCTCTTTTGTCTACATCCATACACTCTACCTGCATTCTTCCAGGCTAGGGGGGGACGGACCTCACAATGTGGCCACTGAAAGCCCCGCCCCCATCACAGAGAAGTGTGCTGCTGTCTTCTTCTTGGCAACAGGAGAGAAGAGCCCTGACCAACAAGTGGACAGGATTCTTCTGCTTTACTGGAGTAGGACTCTTATCTAGATCTTTCTGGGCGGTGGGATACAGAAGCAGTTCTAGGTGTGTGATTAACAGGAGCAGAGGGCAAGGAGGGCAAGCAGATGCCTTGGGAACTAGGAAAGGAGATTAGAAGCTAAGGAAAGCCATGCCTTCTCGTCTTCCAGGACGGTTAGCAGGATGGACGCGCACTGCAGCCGCTTGGTGGCCAGCTTCTTCCGATAAGCCAGCTGTTGTTTCTCAGCAACAATGTCTTTGTAGGATGTGTGTAAAAAATGTAAATGTTCTTCAATCTGAAAGACAAACTCACCATTGAGAAAACGTCTCTCTTTCTTGGTTTACATTGTCTGACATTTCTCTTGCCTTAGCGTGCAACCACTTCCCTTTCACAGCCTAGAAAAGCTCGCTACATAGGCTACATGAATGAGATGTACGCACAGAAGCAAGCAGGTCTCTCAGCCCTGGAGTACCGTGAAAAGCCGCCTGCTTTCTGCAGAAACCCTTCCTGCAGTCCTAAGCATGGGCAGAGTCATCGTTTTCTAATTTATCTGTTCACAAGGATAACTATGTCATAACTAAGTTATTCTCTAAAGAACATGCCTGAGGGCTGGGCACGTAGCTCAGCTGGTGGCATGCTTGCCATGCTGCAGACTATCTGGGTTTGATCTTCAGTGTTGTGTAAAACCAGGTGCATCGGCTCACACGCCTACACTCCAGAGCTAGAGGACTGAGGGGCCTAAGTCCAGGGTCATCCTCAGCTATGAAGAGAGCACATCTTAGGTTTCTGTTTCCAAAATAAAGAAATAGAAGAAAGAAAATGGCCGAACTTTTCCCACTCCAAATATACCAAGCAGATCTGAGGAATAAACGAGTCAGGATGGAGGGATGAAGTAAGTCTGAGAAGGCCCCTCCGTTACCTACAGGAAACACTCTTCACTGCTGTTAAGATTTGCGTATGAAATATTCTGCACAGGCCCATGTGCTGAAGGCCTGTTCCCCAACATGCGGCAGTTAGGAGGGGTCACAAGCTTCAGCAGGTGAGTCCTAGTGGAAGGAAGTGACATCATTGGCAGCATGCCCTTTGAGGGGTCGTCAAGGCCCCATTCCTTCTTACCACTCCTTCCCGCTTCCTATTTACAGTGCAGTGAACAAGCCCCCCCACCCCCACCCCATTCCATCACGCTGTACTGTGTCCCATGGTCCCAAAGCATGCTGCTTCGGTCAAATGGCTATGGACCAAATCAAGTTAATTTGATTATGCCAGATTTTTGAAATAAGCTAACAAGAGGGTTTAGCATAGAATCTTGAATATGGCATGGATATATAAATATATATAGATATAATTGTGCAGGCATGATATACAATTATGTAACATTTTATATATACATGTTATAATAGTATATACAGAATTGTATTTAGTTTGATCTGTAATTTTTCCTTATTATCTTTATAAAAGTATGAAACTAAATTAAAATTTATTTTGTAAAATAATATATATTATGGGCTAAAGATACAGTTCTGTGGTAGGATTAATTTTTAATTGTGTGTATTTGTGTATGTGTATGTAGGTATGTGCACATCCATGCAGATGCCCATGAGGGCCAGAAGAGAGCATGGGATCCCCTGAAGCTGACTGACATGGAAGCTGGGACTGGAACTCAGGTTCTCTGGAAGAGTAATGATGACCCATCTCTGCCGTCCCTGCAGCCTCTTGTTAACACTTGGAGATGTTGTCCTTGCTGCATTTCTCCCATCTTCCTCACTACTTAAGATGCAGTTATTCAAGTACAGGGCATATCCATGAAATTCAACATACAGGCATGTGCTGGGCACTAGACTTCGTAAGGGGTGCTTTGATGAGGGCACGGGTGATTACTGAGGTCTAGGCCTGTTTCCCAGAGTTCTCTACAATTTTCAGAAGTATTTTCTCCATTACGGCCCTGATGGACAGAGGGTACATATTTGAAATAGAAGAAAGTATACAACAGGAGGACATTCCCATAAAAGGCATAAAGCCAATGGAGTCAACTATAGCTTGGGTGTGCGCCACTGCTGCCCAGCCGATACTGGTTAAACTTTTAATACACTGAAGTTACAAAGAGAGAAAGGTGTTGAGACGGTATTATATAAAGATAATTAACACATGTCACGTCTGTATTATTTACTTAGTCCTCACAATCGGTCTCCTAACTGGACCATTATTTTTGGTTACTAAGTTCTACTGAGTCAATGGCTTCTCCACACCCCGCCCTTGCTGTGCTGGGGGTGGGCTCTCAGGCCGACATGCTACTAGACAACATTCTGAGCAATACCCTCACCGCTGAGGTACTGGTTGACTTTCCTTGGCAATGTTATGTACTTCTTAAAGGCAGTGAGGATTTAACAAGTAACAAAACAAAAACTTAGGACCCCAAAGCTTACCAGTTGCAAACCTCTTTGTTTTTCAGACAACCTTTGCTTTGCAATTCGAAGGACATTCTGAGCTTCAGCCACTTGTGCCTGCTTAGGGCTCACCATCTTCACGGGGGTCAAACATCCAGGGGTTAAACAGTTAGGCTTATGGTTTAAAATGTCTTGTGCTTGAGAGACACTTATAGATATCAGTCTTTAAGATAAAATTTCCTGGGATTTGATATATGCACATAAGGGATACAGTTTGCTATGGACAAAATATTAAATCAAACAAATAGAAATGTAGCATAGCTTTCATAAAATATTTAAAAGAAACAATCTATGGGATTAGCTCAGCATATGCATTCTTTTTACAGAGGGACCCGAGCTCTGCTAACTACAAATTACTCTAGGAGCTGTGGTGTCCCCTGCAGATCACAGGGACAGAGGAGGCAAGGAGTACCTTCTGAACTTCGTGGTAGTCATTCAAGGCTATAACCCACTGACACATGGAGCAACAAGCCACAGAAACCAGAGCAATCTTTTTGGGATTGAAATCAGGCAAATTTAAGATCTTCCTGAGCTTCAGGAACACCTACGGAGAATGTATTACATGCAACGTACGTTAGAATGAATGATTAATTCCCCTAAGGATGATTTCCCTCTACCTCAACTGAAGACATTACAATTGTACCTAGGGTTCAAAGTGGCCGTAGATGGAGGGATGTTGACAGAAGTTTCTCTCCTGCCTGGTCCCACGTGTTGGTGCCCCACATTGGGCACTAAATATGGCATAATAAATAAAAATTCAGAGACCAATATTGGGGTTCAACTTGAAGATCAGAAAAGCAAAACAGCCAGCTACTTACTCCTATCTATCTCAGTCAATAGAGCATGAGACTCTTAATCTCAGGGTTGTGGGTTTGAGCCCCATGTTGGGCACCAGAGGGAGTCTTTCTACTAAATATCTGTCACTGTTGCAGTGACTTTGCTAATATTTAAAAGGAACTTCTCCCTTCAATCCCTTGGTGCACTCTATTGTGAGGGGATGATGTCCTGCCCCCAAGTGGCCTATTGGCTTAATAATGCTATTTATTTTATAGTTAAGTATACAGAATTCCTTATCTGCCTTTATGAGCCATAAATGGTATAGCATCTTTCTTAGACTTGGATTCCTTCCTGCTTTCTGGTTAGGCATCTCTTCTCTTGCCTGGGAACACCACCACTTTCCTGAATAACTCAGATGTTGGTGGTTCCTCCTAACCTGCCACTATTAATACGTTCTGATTGTTTTGAAGCTGTTAGGCTTTTAATTACTGTTTTATAAGAGTGATTCTTTTTAGATGTATTTAAATAAAGCCACAGGGGACCGTATTTGTTAATTATTCATTAGAGAACAAATTGTTATATTAATTCATGAATGAGTACCACCACTGGCATTCTGCCCAAAACTTCATCTTTCCTGTGTGCAACTCTGTGCTTCCCAGTGGCACAGACTACCATAACTCTGTGCTTCCCAGTGGCACGGACTACCATAACTCTGTGCTTCCCAGTGGCACAGACTACCATAACTCTGTGCTTCCCAGTGGCACGGACTACCATAACTCTGTGCTTCCCAGTGGCACGGACTACCATAACTCTGTGCTTCCCAGTGGCACGGACTACCATAACTCTGTGCTTCCCAGTGGCACGGACTACCATAACTCTGTGCTTCCCAGTGGCACGGACTACCATAACTCTGTGCTTCCCAGTGGCACAGACTACCATAACTTGCTGGTTAAGTATGATTAGCTGCTAATGTTTACAATGAGGATTGTAGAAGAACACTTTCATAAGAAAACTGTGCTCTCCTGTTCTTGTTTTAGTATTTATTAAGTGTGTGCATGTGTGTGCGCGTGCAAACATATGTACCAGGGCACACATGAGGTTGTCTTTGGACAACTTGTGGGAGTCAGTTCTCTCCTATTATGTGGATTCTGGGGATCAGACTCATGTTGTCAGGCTTGGTGATGAATGCCTTCACCCCTTTATCATCTTGCTAGCTCCCCTCTCTTAACTCTGTCTTCCACCTGCAATACATTTCATTCTTAAATCCCTTTTTATTTTCACTTGTAATTCATAACCACTGTTAGCACTTCTGCTGGAGTCTGTAGACTGTAGAGATGGGACACACCCACCATGTGCTCGCTAGCTCTCAGTGTTTCACCTTATCAGGGATGCTGTCCTTGTCCAGGTTAATCAGTTTCTTTAGGAAGCTGGTTTCGGAAAGCAGAAGTTTGGCTGTTGCCCAGTTAGGTTTCTTCTGTAGAAGGATACACACAGCATTCATGACTGTCAGAACAAGGAAGGGGGGCCGTGTATACACTCTGAAAGACAGGGGAGCATGATGAAAATCATTACATACACAGTCTTTTAGACTTTATCTACACCACATGGTTCAGAGAGACTACAAAACAATGGGCTTCATTATGAAATTTTCCTATGTGTCGTTTGCAGTTTGCTCTTACTCTCTCCCAATGCCCTTTTGTGTCCTGTCTCCTCTCCCACTGCCCCCCCTCCTTTTTACAAATATCACCCTTCTGCTTTCATCCCCCCCTCTCATACACACACAGACACACACAGCTAAGTCCAGTTTTCCCATACAAGAGACACCATGCATGCATACATGTTTTTAGCGAGCATTCTTATAAGGAGCTCCAGTCAACATAGAGGTATTTTACTGTTTGATTACTTTTTTAAAAAATGAATGTCTTTAGTACACAGATATCTTTGCTTTAGGAAGACTAAATGCATAAAATTCAAAATCTGAAAATCATTTGAGTTAGAGACTAATTCTTTTGGTTACAAAAGTACCCACTGCAGACTCATTTTAATCCAGGAACCTTCCTGTGTCTTTCTAGTTGACCTTCTGATGACCATGCCACAGAGACGTTGTGCACGCATGTGCACACGCAAATCAGCCCTGCCCTTGAGATTTAAGGACTGTCCCTGACTATCTCTATGCTTATCTTGTGACTTCTCTTTATCCTCACTGCAGTGCTAAGGTTACTGGTAGAAAAAATGATGTGGGAGTCTTTTGTGTTGATTTCATTGGTTAAATAAAGAAACTGCCTTGGCCCTTTAACAGGACAGAAAATTAGGTAGGCGTAGTAAACAGAACAGAATGCTGGGAGAAAGAAAGCCAAGTCAAGAGTCGCCATGATTCTCCCACTCCAGAGAGACGCAGGTTAAGATCTTTCCTGGTAAGCCAGCTTGTGGTGCTACACAGAATATTAGAAATGGGTTAGATGGGTTAGATCAATATGTAAGAGCTAGCCAATAAGAGGCTGGAACTAATGGGCCAGGCAGTGTTTAAAGGAATTCAGTTTCCGTGTAATTGTTTCCGGTAAAGCTAGCCCCGCCGCTCTCCCTACTACAAAAAACTTTGGGGCAGAGGGATATGTTGGGATCTCTTTCTACAGTAAGAATAAAAGGATCATGACTGGAACATTGCCAATCACTTTTGGTTGTGTCCCAACCAGTTTCTAGCTACATTAGTAACATCAGAAGGGAGTCTCTTTATGAGCAATCAAGTATAGGAAAGAACGAAGGGAATGCTGGTCCACACAGCACTTGCCATCCCAAGGCAGAGGAAAGGGATTTCCCAGTGCGAGAATGATCGTCGCTGGGCTGGGACCTTCAGTGTGACTTTTCTGTGTTTGCCCACTCAGACCCTCACCCGCCATCCCTGCTGCATTGATGGAAACTCAGGAGGAAGTGGCAGCACTCCAGGCAGTGCTTCACTGTTCTTGAAACATGGTCACTGGAGAGAGAAGGCTTGGTGGTTAAGAGCACATGCTCTATTTGCAGAGGATCTAGGTTTGTTTCCCAGAACCCACACTGGGTGGCTCACAACCGCCTGTCACTTCACAGGAGCTGATGCTCTGGTATCCATGGGAACCTGCACTCAGGTGTACACATCCTGCCCCCTCAATGGATACATATTTAAAATTAATAATACAAAAAAATTACTGGGTGTTTGAGCTCTTCTGTCAGTAATACCTACCAGAACAAAAGTTAAATGAAAAGGATGTTCTGGAAGGAAGTCACACAGTGCAGGTTGTTTGGGGGCGATGCTGGGGACGGCGTGGCCTCTAGTGACACCGTGAAAAGCCCCTCTGTCTGCATCCCCTTCTCCTGCCACCTCCGTTACCTCACAGCTCCTGAAAACCAGAGATGTGTGTGTTTCCTACTCCTCTGCCATGCTTTCGCCACACAGCTGCCCGTCCTTCTGCCAAACAGCACTCTCTTCTCTGCAGCAACGTCAGCTCAGAGCAGAGGGTTCCTTCCCACTAGTGGTTGCGGTGACCGCAGCGCCTAGGACAGGTCTGTCACATAGTGTGCACGCAACAGGTTTGCCAACACAAGAGGAAATGACTAAGACTAATGACCCTCGCTTGCAGGTGAGGGTCTCGAGAACTCAGCTGCCTTCTGTTCTCTGTGCCTTTGGCCATCAGCGTTAGGTGGATGAACTTGGCTGTGATAGGCTCTTATCTGCTGTTAATGTGTCACAAATGTGATGAGGTTGGGGCCAGAGAGATGACTCAGTCGGTAAAGTGCTTGCTGCTGAGCCTAAAGATTCCCAACACCCATATGTGACAAGTTGAGCCCTGCAGTGCATGCCTGTGATTTCAGCGCGTGCACATACAGAGGAATGTGATGGTAGGCTTGCCCTGTGCTCTCATGTCCTTTGTTAAAACACTACTGTCTTAAAATTTTTTCAAATATTATTTTACATGTATGGGTGTTTTGCCTGCATGTATGTTTTTGTTCATCACATGAGCACCTGGTGCTCATGGAAGCCAAAAGATGGTGTCAGATCCCCTGGAACTGGAGTTATGGATAGTTAAGAGTTATGTGGATAGTGGGAATCAAACCTGGATCCACTGAACCATCTCTCCAGCCCCTTAAGACACTATTTCCTAAGAACAATGCAATACTTGCCATGCTTGGAGATAGGATATTTAGAGATTTCCACTCTTGACTTGGAAGCCTCAAATTAAAAACATTCCCACGCAGGCTGGGAGTGGAGGCACATACCTTTAAAGCCAGCACTTGGGAGGCAGATGCAGGCAGATCTCTTGAGTTCGAGGCCAGTCTGGTCTACAGATTGAGTTCCAGGACAGCCAGAGCTACACAGCACAGGAAAACCCTATCTCTCTCTCTCTCTCTCTCAAAAATAAATAAATAAATAAATAAATAAATAAATAAATAAATTTGACCTAAAACTTAAGATCAGGATCTAAAGGTTCAAACCTTTGTACCCTGCCATAGTTCATTTCTTCCAGGGCTTTCTTGGCTATTTTTCTTCAGTCCCTTTCTTCACACACCAGGATACTGTTTGGAAAAGACATCAGGGAGAAACGCTCCCGCAGCGCCTCCTTGAGGTGTGTGTCAGCACTGCAGTCTCCTGTGTTCTGTGGTGGGTTCTGAGTCACCCTGAAATGAGGGCTGGGGCATCGACGCTGTGTTCTAACTGCAGTTCAGATAATGCTGGACGTTACTGTTCTAGGATGTGAAGTGTTACACAGCAGAGATGGCAATTCAGTTGATAACAAATAGCTCACGCTTTTAGCGGGGTGGTGATTTTCTCTTAAGGACCCATAAATACTGGCATGCCTTAAACCAATAACATGATAAATACCACACATAAAGAGAAATTTATAGTAATAAGTGGATACAAATTAGTCAACAGTCAATAAAAATTGGAATGCTGACTTTTACCACACATTTTTATCCTATTCAGAGGCATTTTAACTCAAAAGAGACGACTCACCTTAATTCAGAAATATCACTTTTATCCAGGGCATTCAGAGCCACAATTGCCTTTTCTAAAGCGGGCAGCACACTTTTTAGTTCATTGGTGGTTTTCTGTAATGAAGACATAATCCTCATTATATATGAACAAATATAGTTCCATACTTCAAATCATTGGAATGTTGATGGAAAATGTGGTTTGGCGTTTTTATAGTATGGATTAGACATGTGCACACATGCTTCTGTCATGGGCAACATGGAAAGTAGAAACACTGAGAGAGAGCCGGGCGGTGGTGGTGCACGCCTTTAATCCCAGCACTCGAGAGGCAGAGGCAGGAGGATCTTGAGGCCAACTTGGTCTATAAGAGTTAGTTCCAGAACAGGCTCCAAAGCTACAGAGAAACCCTGTCTCAAAAAACAAAAAAACAAAAAACAAAAAAACAAAAAAAGAAACACTGAGTGGCTTTGGCCTTGTCTTTCAGTTTCAACATAGTATGACAGACGCCCTTTGAGACGACTTTCTGTTACAAGAGGGACTGGTGACCCGCGCCTACAGTCCTAGCACTGAGAAGGCAGAGTCTGGTGGATTGCCGCGCATGGCGTCCCCGTGTCTGCGCTCTGTGCGCTGGCACCCAGTTCACGAGCTTCGGGCAAGGGGGCTGGAGGTTAAAATACATAGACACACACAGACAGAGACAGTGACATGGGTCATCCTTGAATTCCCCAAGAATGCCCCCTTTTTTGTGTTCAGGGGCAGATTATATAGAGATAGACACGCCCCAGCCAAACCCACCAGAAACCACTCTCCTGCCATCAGGAACTCCTGAAGGTCTCGTGCTCAGAGCAGCTGTAGGCACTCAGATCACGGGATTACAAGAAATTCAGGATCTGGGGTCTCACTGCTCCCAACAGTGGATCACAGAGTTTGAGGCCAGCCTGGTCTACAGAGCAAGTCCCAGGCTAGGTCTACACAATGAGACCATGTCATAAAACAGCAAGAAAAACAATGAGAGCTAATCAGTTCTGATAAGAAGCCAGCCAAGCCAGGTGTGGGTGTGCGTGCTGAAGAGACAGAGGCGGGCAGAGCTCTGTGAGTTTAAGGCCAGCGTGTGTCACACACCAAGTTGTTGGGCTTACATAGTGAGCCTGTGTACTTTTGAAGTTACCCGGAGAACAACTTGAAATCTATGTTGACGTTCACTGTGGTCTGTAGTAAGCCTTTCCTAGGACTGACTTATGTTGGCCTCTTCCTTTTAAGCTACAGCTATCTAGACAGCAAATGCAACTCTGCGGCTACCAGTAGCAGCTAGGCTGCAAGAGCTGCAGCCTGAAGAAATTCTGCTCTCTCAGGCACCAACTCTTTCAAAGCTATTAAGAGAATTTACTTAAATCTCTGTCCCCCCAAAGAACTCAAGATTCAAAGACTGAGATAGAATCCTGCTTCCCAGAGAGGCTGAATAGCAAGCAACTCACCTGCCTCTCCCAAAAGGCATCCTCTGGCTTTTTCTTGCCCCGCCTTATAACCCCCTTCTCCTCCTGGCTCCTCCCTACGTCTGTCAGCCAGTTGCTGACGCAGCCTTCAGACAGCAGGTGAATTTATTTAATCAAACACATCTTTGCATCATTAAATGTTCCAGAGCATAAACAAGAGTAACACACCTTAAAATAATATTCTACAACAGATTTAGGCTTCAGGAGATTAGCCAGTGATTGAAGCTCATGGGTGCAACTGGTAAATCAATCAGTTTATTTCAACATGTGTGGTTGCTTCTTTGAGAAGGATTGGCTAGTAATCAGACTAGAGTTGAGCAAACTTAACCTACTTCACTACTCTGGCTCCAGAATTGTGACTGGGAGAGACAGAAGGGACAGAGGGTTTCCATAGTAAACAACAGAATTGGCAAGGTCAAACAGTCATCCCCAGAGCCTCTCGGCTCTCTGCAGATGCTACTCCTGGAGGCATGGCTCACGTGAGTTCCAGTGCAGCCTGCAGAGCTTCCTGGGAAAGGGACTACCTTCTGCTGGGTTCCCTACTTTCTCTTAATGGCTTCCTGCTTGCAGTAGGGGCTCAGGACATGTTTGCTGGGGTAGGACCAAAGGTATCCATCATTGGGCCGCCACCGGTGACATGTGGAGGTTCAGAGCCCCAGGCAGCCTGGATTCACTGAAATTCAGCTCACCTGAGCATAGTCTTCCACAATCCTTACTTCTTCAGCCACGATCTCCTCATCCTGTTTCACAAGTACCTGAACTTTTTCAACTATTTGTGAATCTTTCCGTAGCTTTTCCATCAGGATTTCTTTTTCCTAATGAACCAAACAGTTTTTCTTGGAATGAGCTTTGGCATGACTTCTTTAGAGCAGAAACTAGTTTATTTATTAACTATATAATTTATAGAAATTAGCCTGAAATCTATGTAGCAGAATAATTAGGATGACTACCATAAAGATGATTTCATACACATCAAGACAGATGACAAGGAGCTAGAGAGGTGGCTCAGTAGTTAAGAGCACTGGCTGCACTTCCAGAGGACCCAGGTTCAATTCCCAGTACCTACATGACAGCTCACAACCATCTGTAACTCCAATTCCAGGGGATCTGATGCCCTCTTCTGACTTCCACAGGCACTAGGCACACATACATACATGCAGGCAATTCACCCATACAGATAAAAATAACTTTATAAAAAGGGTCTCACATAGGTGTCACTGGAGTCTCAGAAAGGAAATAATTATATATATATTATATATATAATTATATATATATAATATATATATATATATATATATATATATATATATATATAGAAAGAGAGAGAGAAAGAGAGAGAGAGGGGGGAAGAGAGGGGAGAGAGAGAGAGAGAGAGAGAGAGAGAGAGAGAGAGAGAGCAAGAGTTGGGGGGTATATCGCAGTGGTAGAGAACTTGCCCAGTTAGTGTCAGATCTTAATTTTAATCTCTAGCAACACACACACACACCCCAAACTAAAAAACCCATAAGCCTTTAAAATAAGTGACAGGCAGCAAATTACCATAGCAGATTTCTGATGGATTTAACTAATTACCTAGTAATTTTCTATAATTAGTTATGGTGCTAGTTGGTTTATATGTCAATTTGATAGGAGTTAGGATCATCTGGGAAGAACAAATTTTAATCAAGAAAATGCTTCCATAGGACTAGTCTGGAGTCAAGTCTGTAGGGCATTTTATTGATGATTGATGTGGGAGGGCCCAGCACACTGTGGGCAGTGCCACCCACGGGCATGTGGTCCTTGGCCGTATAAGGGCTGAGCCAGCCAGTAAGCGGCACTCCTCCAGGCTCCGCTTCAGTTCTTGTCTCGAGCTCCTGTCCTGACTTCCTTCGACGATGAACTGTGATGTGGAAGAATAAGCTGAATAAACCCTTTCCTCACCAAGTTGCTTTTAGTCATGGCATTTTACCACAGCCATAGTAATTTCAATTAAGATATATGATCATATTTAATTGTTAGAATGTGATTTCTTCAAAGTGCACAGCTATATTGGGGCAAAGCTGAAGTTTCAATTCACCTTTGTCTGGTCACAGACCCTGTCCTGGATCTGGCTATACAATCTTTAGGACATATTTAAGATTGACGATACCTTTGTTTTTTGTTCTATTTGAGGGCCAATGATCAAAAGCTCTTCCTGCATGTCCGTGACTAACACAGTGGCTTCCAGGATCTTGGAGAGTCCCATGTAGAAGCGGTTCCTGAGGGGAAAGCAAAGCACAGGCTTGTACATGAGGGCCTGCTCTTAGGGTTTCTGTCCTGCCCAGTTCCCACAGTCGGTAAATCCCAAAGAAAATCACACAGAGGTCTCCATAAGATTATAAACTGATTGGCCTATTAGCTCAGGCTTTTTATTAGCTCTTGTAGTTTATATTTAACCCATCATTCTTATCTATGTTAGCCACATGGCTCCATACCTTTTTCAGCAGGGTAGGTTACATCCTGTTTCTTCAGTGATCTGGGCAGGACTGGGGAAGAATGGGCTTCCTCCTTCCCACCATTCTCCTGTTCTTGTTGCCCCACCTTTACTTCCTGACTGGTTGTCCCACCTATACTTCCTGCCTAGCCAATCACCGTTTATTTAAAACATGATTGACAGAATACAGACAATTCTCCTGCACCACAGGCTAACCCTCCCACATCTGAACGGAGCACATTTGGAACCTTAGAATGTTCTGGCTGAGCAGCCTTAATCTGAAATCTCCAAAATCTCAAGTTTTTTGAGGCCCAGTTGTCATCATTCCAAGTGTGAGATGCCAGGTTAAGGGTGCTCAGCCTCTAGGAAGAAGGAAAAACGCACAATTGGACAGTAGCAAATAAAACCAAAAGCTTATAAAGAACTACACAGCATGACCAAGCAGGGTTTATACTTTAGGGATTCAAGACCGATTCAGGATTTGAAAGTCAGTTGACATATAAGCCACCCTATATAAATAGTGTGAAGTAGGGAAGTCAGACCTGGTCACCTGAAAATATATCAACACACTTGATAAAATTCATGACAAAAATAAAACCAAGAGTCAAGAGGGATTTTCTCAGCTTGGTAAATGACACGCTGCTGTAAGAAGAGAATGAACTTACTGTGGGCATGAGGTGCCTGTGACAGGGCTTAGTCACACAAGTTACACGGCCATGAGTGGATGGCAACAGTCTTTCAGAGGGACAGGTGACACCACAGATCCTGGACATAGGAGTGGAAGGCCCATTAATCTCTCTTGACTCCCATCTGGAGAGAAGCTGGGCCCTTTCCCTAGACTGTTCTCACCTCGATTTAACTGCCACACCACAGAAATCTCAGTCTGGAAGGTGGGCGCTTCCCCTTGACAAGAGCCACTTTTGAACACAGTGTGGCTTTTTTAGGTTGCGTTTTGACTGTCCCAGCTGTTTTACATTTGATACAGAATCTTTTATACCCACTGGATGTTGTTAGCAAAAACTCAAGAAGAATTTGACCCCGAATCCATAAAATTAGCAAAATACGGTGGAGACTACCCTTACTTCTTACGCAAACACCAGGCTTGGATGTGCTCCTCACACACAGACTTAACTCTTCCGGTGTGAGCTGTGATGGAGGATCATGTTTCTGTAGTCCTGCTGGCCAGCTTGGGCACAGTGTCTATAGACACCTGGATGAGTGACGTGTCTTGACTCCAGACAAGGATTCTGACTATGGTTTAGTTTCTAAATGGACTCATCACTTTAGTTACTCCCACTCAGTGTTTCATAAGACAACCCGAACGGGATCTGACCTGATGAGGTGGCTTTTCCTTTAAAAGACTTGTTAGTTGGACACACCATAGGCTTGCGACAGACTTGTTTTGGAGTGTTTGTCTTAGGTGCCCGAAGGCCATCTAGGTAAGGCTGGACTGAGGCAGTTCTGACTCTGAGAAAGCCCCGGGGATTCCCCAGCATGTGAGAATTTTTATAGTAGATGTTACAAGGCCAATTCCTAGCCACTTACTGTCTTCCTAGGAGGTTGCCATAGGACAAATTCTCAGTGTCCCCTGGGTTCTGGTTATATATACGGGCTGTGGGTACAAGTTAGTGGCAGAGTGCTGGCTGAGCGTGCACGGGTCCCTGGGTTCCACCCCTAACAGCATAAAAAAGAGAGGGTGAGAGGTCTGGGAGATGTGTTGAGAAAGGCTATCTCTGGGCAGGACATGGCTACGGCACTTAGGACCCACTGCACATACGGTCACCTGCACAAGTTCACGCCGACAAGATCAGTCAGTG